TATCTTAATTATTTTTTTATTGCATTTGGGCGCCATCTACTAAAACGTTCCTATAATCATGAATAGTTGTGGTTTGTGTCATTGCTAAATTTATTATCATATTCACCATATACAGTTTATAGGACATTTTAAATACATATGAAATAACCACAGTGCATAGTTATTCGCTTGTCCAATAGATGGCTAATTTTAGAAATCAACGATTGTAGGCTTTGAAAGTTCGTACTTATGCGTGCTAAATGGTACTAAATTTGTTACAATTTTAATTTTGGATTTCAATTTTGGAATCAGGATCACTCTTAGGATGTAGGATTGGGGTATGATGAAGTTTTGGAAATTTCTTCCTATCTGTCCTAAATGACACTGAATTTGGTACAATTTGGATTTAGGGTGAACCGATAGGGCTGGAATCCTATATTTTTGCACAGCATAAGTCTTGGTACCCCTGGAGAAAAATAATGAATTATTTAATATTACTTAATTTTTACAATTAAATTGGCTTACTTAACATTTGGTAGGATATCCCTTGAGTTTTAAAACTTCATTCAATTGTTCGGGCATTGAGTACACAAGTTTTTTTGTGTAGTCCGACGATCATTTACCCCATTCTGTCAGAAGTATTTCTTTGAGTTGGGCCTTACTGAAAATTGTATAATTTCGGATTCGTTTATCTAGATGCTCAATAGGATTTAAATCGGGGCTTTGTGGAGGTGTTATCAGCTTGCGTGGTGTATTGTATACGATCTAATTCTTAACGTCAATAGCAGTATGTTTTGGATCATTGTCCTTTTGGAAGTAATAATTATTACGAATGTTGAGTTTTTCAGCACTTTGATTCAAATTTTGGTTCAAAATATTCATGTAAACTGTTTTATTCATTATTTCCTCAATGAATACCAAATTGCCAACACCAGTTGCTGACATGCATCCCCATACCATTACTCCACCCCTCCGTTTTATAATCATTTGCAAATTCGACACGCTTCTTTCAGTTTGTTTTGTTAACAAGTGGTTTTTTGCGGGCAGTGCGAGCATTGAATCCACACTTCTTGATCCATCTACGTACCGTGTCTGCTGAAACTGCTTTCCCAAATGATTCTTTTAAGACTGCAGCGATTTCAGGAGCGCTGCTAAATGGATCTTTTCAATTTTTTTTCTTCTCTGGTGTTAAGCTTCCTGGCCTGATCGCGGTTTATTTTCAATTATATTATCTTTTTTGTATCGATTAACCACTTTTTGGACTGCTGATTTGGTTATGTTTATCATTTTACATATTTCGGAATAGGATTTTCCCATTTCGTGGTTATTAATTATTGAAGAAACTCGAAACAACAAGATTTACAATAATGTTGGCTACTCCTTGTTTAGGAACTACTACCAGCTTATGATCCGAGTCCATCAACTTGGACAAGCGTGGGTAATGATCTTAAGCCTTCAGTATTCGCTTAAACGAATTAGAGTCGGGGGGTCCAGACTCGGAATGTAGCGATTTTATTGAAACTTGTAGAGTTGGGTAGTTCCGGAACGAACTAGTTCAATGGAACTATTCCGAGAAAGGAACGATGGGAACTAGTTCCAGCTCTTTAATTAATATAATTGCTTTTTCTGATATCGTTCCTTTTTGATCTTGTTCTTTGATATGGATCAAAGGTACTATATGGAGCAAAGGAACTATATGGATCTAAGGAACTATATGGAACAAAGTAACTATAAAGAGCAAAGGAACTATATGGAGCAAAGGAACTATTTCGAGTAAATAAACTATAAAGAGCAAAGGAACTGTATGGATCAAAGGAACTATATGGAGCAAAGGAACTATATATGGAAAAACAAAAAAATGAAAAAAATTAACGATGAAAGAGAGAGATTCAAAGGAACTATGTAGGAGTCGGAACTATATTGGGCAAAAGAACTATTTGGAGCAAAGGAACTATAAAGAGCAAAGGAACTATGTGGATCAAAGAACTATTTGGAGTAAATAAACTATAAAGAGCAAAGGAACTATAAGGAGCAAAGGAACTATATATGGAAAAAGCAAAAAACAAAAAAAAAATCAACGATGAAAGAGAGAGAGAGATTCAAAGGAACTATATAGGAGTCGGAACTATATGGAGCAAAAGAAACTGTATGGAGTAAAAACTATATGAAGCAAAGGAACTACATTAAGGAACTAGTTCCTTTTTAAAAAAGGAACGAGAAAGATCGATCCGCTAAGTGAACTAGATTGCCCAAGTCTAGAAATTTGGGTATGCTTAAGTACTACATTTAAGAAGCGAGATTCTAATCTAGTATTGGTTGTATAAACATGTAGTAATATCAGAGATGTAGTTTTTGGTACTATTTACAAAATATTTACATAGTTAGCCGTTAATTTCAAATGTTTACAACAGAGTTGAATTTTGGTGTTTAAATGATCAATAAATTATTATTATTTTTCGCTCTTCAATAGTTAGTTATTTTCTAGACATTTTAACAAAATACTTGCTTTCGCTTGATGCACTAAGCAAATGCTTTTGAAAATGTGGAAAGTACCGTTATTTTTTAAAAGAGAATTTGACAAAACTCTAAATAGTTTCCACCTATTTAACTAAACGATTTTATCACATAAATGATGTGTAATATCAGCTGTGACCAGGGGTACCATGACTTATGCAGTTCAAAAATTTGGATTTGACACGTTCTCGATTTTTTTATGGTTTGTTGGAACAAATAAATGAAATATTACTTTCCCCTGTTGTAGTATAGGAGTGAATACATATAATAAAAATAATTGTTTTAAATTTTGCAAATTATTTTTTGAGTAATTACTGAATGTTTTTTTTATTTGTATGGGGTACCATGACTTTTGCTGCTCACTGTAAAAGTTTTAGAAATTAGTACGTTTTTCTCGAATCCCGCTTTTGAACCCATAAAACTGGTAAAAAAAATTAATCAAATTTAGGTGAATGCAAAAGAAAATGGCGTTCGTTTTGTAAACTTCTTACTCGAAAAATGTGTCCGAGTAAAAATGGTAAACAGGAATGCCAACTGAGTTATGTTGATTTTAAAGTATTACCATCCAATTTGGGCATATTTACTAGATTTGCGTTCCCGCACTTTTCAAATTATTTTGTACTAGGAGAGCGATTTTAAATAGTTTCCCTTTTACTAGCTTTACTGTTAAAAAAGTACTGGAACATACCAAATGTGTACTAAATGGTACTACATTTAATAAAATTTGCATTTGTGTGAGCAAATAGCGCTCGAATTAAAAAACTTTTAATTATTATTGGAAATATATACTACAAAATAACGAAATGTAATAAATGGTACTAAATTTAGTAAAGAGCTAGATTTCTGCTATGGTAAGAATTGACGTGTAGTATTCAGATATGGAGGCAACTGTCTCTTAATTTTCTATGTTAAGACGTGGTTAAGTAAAGTAAAAAAATTCAATATGTTTCAAACTCCAATTGCAATACTTAAAATTATTGAAAAAAATTGCATTAATTATTGTAGGTTTACGGGGAAAATTCATCACGCTATATTATTATTATACTGATTTTCATGCTGAAAACCATTTTTCAGCCCCCATATCCTCCCGCAATAAAACCAATTATTATTCATTTTATTTTTTGCATTATTTATTTAATTAGATTTGCATGCATTTTCGATATATATATATATATATATATTATTTTTTAATCGTTATTAATTTTTCTAAATGAAATCGTAAAAAAGATTTCCATGATTATATTTTAAACTAAGGGACAAGCCTAGCGGAACTTGTTCGTACATACAGATATAAATACTGGTGCAAATACAAATACAACTAAGTAGTTACTACAAAAGTATGTAAACGAGTATATGATTACTTTTTTGTTGTTGTTTGAGAGAGAGACAGAAAAAAATCTTATCACTATATAAGGATTGGGTGTATCACTTGTTGAGGATACAGAATGACCTCATTGACTACAGAGGAATGGGGATGGGATAAAAAATACTTAGCGATTCCATTTCATATATATGGAGGAAATGGACCTCAGCTGTGAACTAAAAACTACGAGGTAATTTGTACATAAAAATAAATACAGGTTTTTGGGGCTAAAATATCTCGGGGTGTAAATGTAATAGGTGGTGAATACAATTGAATATAAATTGTCTTAATGACAAAAATAATAATAAAAAACAATATAGTATTCTAATTATTTGTGCATAATATTATTATTCATCATCCAAACGTATGGCATGGTTTACATGACCACCACTAGCCTCTACAGCGATGGCTTGGACCAATTCAGGATTTTGTGGTTTTTGTGTAGGGACGACTAAGGCTGGCACGGTTTTGGTATCTCTTGGTAAATCGCTACTTCCGTAACTCCTTTTCATATGGCATGTATTCTGGGCTGAGTTGATTTTCAATACGCGACGCTTTTGTACACAATTCACAATGGACGATATCAGAAGTCCCAAGGCCAGTGTCAGTAGACAGCCTATCATGGAATACCACATATAGCTGAGTTTAAATATGGGCCAGTCTCTGCAAGAAAAAAAGAAACAAAAAATATTAAATTTCAATTTTTCCACATTTCGAATCAAGCACAACTTACGTAAATCCAGTCTCTGCAATTTCCACAGCCTCCCTGCGCACCGCAGCTGAGGAAATCAATGTCTGTGTTGCATTCACCAAACAATCACAATTCTCCACAGACAATGGCAGATCCTCAGGATCGACATTGGAAATTTGAGCCACCACACCAATAAAAATGACAATAACCAATGAGACGATGCCACCATAGAAGGCACCCTTGGTATTGGCACTCTTGAAGGCAATGCCCAGAACAAACAGACCCAAGGTAACACCACCAATCAGACCATTTAAAGTCAAGGTGGCTTGCAGTACACCACCCAAACGTTCCACAATAAATACCAGACCAAAGGACAGAATACCAAAGCCCAAGGACATCCATTTGGCATATAAGGCTCCCTTATCGGGGGAGATTTTAATATTCATGCCATTTACCAGCAAATCTTCACATGTCACAGCTGACAACGAATTCAAGGCAGAAGCAACAGTTCTACAACAATAGAAAATTATATAAATAACAACAAAAACAGAGAATAATGTCTTGGCAACTTACCCCAAACTTGCTGCAAAAATTCCAGCCACAAATATACCAGCCATCGTGTAAACATGTTCATAGGTACTAATAATATAGAAAGGCAACAATTGATCTGCAGCTGTAATACGTCCGGCCGTCAATGGATCACAATCGGCATAATGATTGAAAACCATTAGGCCCGTATAGAAATTCAGCAAGAATACAACAACTAAACCCAAAATTGCAAAACCCAATGCAATGCGAGCCAATTTCAAAGATTTCAATGACATGCATTTCTGCACCGATGCCTGATTGGTGCAAAACAGCGAAGTCCAATAGAAGAAGCCGCCAATAACCACAGACCATACGGTGTGACGGGTTGTTGGATCCATATTGAAACTGAAAAACGAGAAGAATTTAAAAAAAAATATTAATAAAATCCTACAATAGTTATGATAGGCGTATACGTAATGACAAAACGTATACGCACTAAAGTACAAGGGGGAATGGAATTATAATTATCTGCTGAAAATTTTTAAAAGAAAAATGTGAAAATGTGGCGGGGAAAAATCTGTTAAAAGCAGATGGGTTGAGAAAAGGGTGTTTAAAAAAATCTCCATATTTCTCAAGTAGAATATTTTTGAAGAAAAAGTACATTATTTTGGGAATTATTTATGATGTAGACTTCTAAACGTCACATTATACCGAACTCAAGTGAATTGTTGATAAAAGGGTGTGCATATTTGAAAAAAAAAAAATTAAAACATTTTAAAAAAACTGTATGGGATTTTTTATATCCTGAGAACCCGAAAATTTCAATTTTATATATACAGCTGCGGTGGTTACATATATTCGTATTTAAACAGGAAAATTAGAAATCAGTTAATTAAATATTTTATACAAGTTTATTAAAAGTTCTTCTTGAGATTTTGATAAGCCTCTTAAGAGTAGAAAATTTAATTATTTTTATTTCTTATTTGTTATTATTTCCTTATTGTTATTGAAACATCCAAAGTAATGTTAATAAAAGTGTCCCTTAAACATTTTGGTAGTACTATTATGCGTATAAGTAATGATAACAATTATACGTATGAAAGTACGGACAACAAATAAATTAATAAAGTAAAATATAACTTAGTTGTGAATTATCATAGTTCCGGCAATGATAATAGGCGTATACGCGATGAAAACAATCGCCCATGTGACATGTTCCGAGAGTTTTTGAATTCCCATACTTTTTTAAATTCCCATGTTGTGCAAAATGGTGTGCTCAATTTCGAGCGAAAGTGCAACTCGAAAGCATAGCTGTATTCAATATGTTGCGAAATGTGTTCAATAAAAAACATATGTTTCATTGGAATTTGCAATTTGTTTACAAACAAAATTAAGAAAAAATATGCCTGCTGGCTTATTAATTGCCCTGGTTTCTACCAGAAAAAGTCTAATGATACTGGAACGTGTTAAAATAAGAATTTATGGATATTTTGAGAGAAGTGGGTCCTTTCATACACAAGGGTGCCATTCCCGAAAGCCTCCAGTTAGCAGGTATCTTAAGATTTCTGGCTGTTGGTGGGTTTCAGAGGGTAGTGGCAAATGATTTAAATATAAGTGTTGATCGCACAACAATGTGTAAAATATTGTGGAGAGTAATGAAAGTCCTGAAAGACAAAGTGTGTGCAAGCTGTGGACAGCTGCAGACCAGGATCCAGCCATGATGCTTTTATTTGGCATATGAATTCAGCTAGGCAGCATTAACAAAAGGGGAAATGGTACGCAAAATAGTTGGTTTCTATGAGACAGTGGTTACGCTTTAGAAAAATTTTTTGATGCCCTATAAACAAGAGGAGCATGGATCTTCTCAACATCGATATAATAAAGTGCACACATCTGCAAGAAACATAATTAAAAGGACTATTGGAAATCATAAAAGTAGATTTTTTATAGATTCTATTTTTATTTGATCATATGGTGGTTGAGTTGCCAAATTGATCTCAAAAATGTTACGCGCTGGGAAAATGTTTCACATTCGAGCAAATTCGAAATGCAGCACATGGGCGAATAATACGGTTTAAACCACCAGAAACAATTTATGCATAAGTAATTTTCAAAAATTCCAGCAGTGATAACAGGCGTATAAGTGACAACAGCAATTATACGTTCTAAGGTACGGAACTAAAACAAAGAATATAATCGGTTTATAATATCCACGGTGAGTTAAACATGAGTCGTTATTGCTCTCATGAGTGAAAACGCTTTTTTTAACTCACCGCCACCGTCCTTTTAAAAGAACACCAAAAATTACAATACTACTGCTAGAAAACTGCCGTCATCTCAGTGAATTTCTACAAATTATTATATTTTATTATTGTATCTCATTCAATACACTCCTAACTAATTTTTATCCAAAAATAATTATTTATAAATAAAATATTAAAGTTTAACAGGATTAAGTTAGTTATGAACAAAATGTCGCAAACCTAATTTTAAGATTTATTTCTTAACAAATTTATGAAAATTCGAAGGAATACGACAGACAACAACTTGCACTTTTCAGTTAATTCAAAAACACGAATTTAACTTTTAAAACTTTAATATTTTATTTATATATAATTATTATTGGATCCAGACCAATAATTTTTTTGGTGCGTATTTTTTTAAATCTTCTATTGGTTATTCCCAAGACAATAACCCAAAAATGTCACTCAATATTACAATAACACCCAATAATTGAATTGTCAACTTCTAAAATGGATACAAAACTGTATGAAATTTCTTAAAATATGAATGTTATTCAATGCGTATAAGTAATAACACTAATTATACGCACTGGTGTCCTGGAATAAAAGTATAAGAGAACACGTAGAAAATGTCCTTAATTTAAAATTTTTAAATGTATTTGTAGTTTGATGTTATTTACTGTAGATTTCACTAGCTTTTGAGGATATATTATGTGCCGAAATTGGAGTTTATATTATTTTGTCTAATTTAAATTTTTCAGCGTTATTGGTTGGTAAATTGTGCGATTGTTAATTAGGTTAGGCTAGTTTATAATTATTATGATTTGTAAGAATTTATAGTCGTGTCATATATAAAACGATGTAATCTCGTTTGGCTATCATATTATACATAAAGGAATAATAATGAATTTAATTAAAATCGATTTAGGTAAAGATAATTTTGTCCATCTCCAAAAGAGAAGCTTAAAGCAGATGGTTTTAGAAAAACTCTCAGTATATCTCATGGATCTCATCGGAGACCCCGAAACTACACATTTTAAAGAAAAAGTACATTATTTAGGAAATTATTTATGAAACAGACTCATAAATGTCCAAATTATACCCATTTCAAGTCTATGTGCAAAATACTTTAAAATGCCTACATTAAATTCGATTAATTTGACAAAAAGCACGTGCTGGCTCTCTAGGTTTCATATAAACGCTTAAATCTTCAGTTGAATAGGGTTATTTCTAAAAATATTGAAATAAATTATAAAATCGAATGGTGTCTAAAACTGGTCTAAATCTTATCTTGCATTTCGTCTACATTTTAAACAGTGCAATGAACCTGTTTTATAAAAAATGCACAATAATACAAAAATTTTAGAAATTCTTTGAATAATCACAAAAAATCTGTCAAACTAATTAAAGATCAGAATATTAACATAAAAACAGGTTAAGCGGTATGTCGGCTACTAAAAAATTGCATATTCTGAAGTATTATAAATTATTTGGAATAACATTAAAGAACATAAAATACGGTTAATGGCGACAGGATAAATGATTTTTTTTTTTTTTTGATTTATAACTTAATGAAATATAAAAAAAATTAGGTCAATATTTAAATCTAGAATTTTATAAAAAGTTCATGGAAAGGGGTTATTTTAATAATTCTTGAAATGTACATATTTTCGAGGGCATTCGCAGCTTTGAAATTTAATTTTTAGAGATAAGTACTGGGTATCATCATGGGTGCAAGAACATAATATTTTTAAATACTAGATACACACTTATCATGTGGATCATAATGTAATAACTGGATTATTTTTATTAAAAATTTGGATTCAATACTTACTTGAAAAATTCCAAACGATCTTTGTCAGCTGCCGTCTTGAAAATTTCTACTGGAGTTCCACTGTAAAAACTACCTAAGGCAACCACTAACACCAACGAAAGAGCCAATACTGCAGCCTATAAAAAATCAATGAAAAGAAATTATATTTTATTAAAAATCCTTAACAAGTAAAACCGAACGGGTCGAAATTTTTCTAACCTCCACCATGAGGTGGACATTCAAAATACCCAAGGCCGAACGAAAAACGGGTTGGGCTAGTATCTCGAACTGATAAAAAATGGCACGTGAATTTTGGAAAAGTGTCTGTAATCCTCAAAATATCGAATAATTTTACTGTTATATGGGAGCCATATTGAAACGGGGACGGGTATTGATAAATAACGAATATTGGCGAGTATCGTTATATGGGAGCTATACCAAAACTTAGGGCAATATTAATAATTTTTTGCAGGGAGGTTTGCTACACGTTGCCAAATACCGAATTAAAGCCAATACATTTGAAAAACGTACCAAACAACCCCAATATAACGAATATGGGGGCTACTCCCTCTATATTAAAAATTTCTTGTATCCATTGAGAACCCCAAATTCCAAACGACAGTAAAATCGGTTGAAACTTGCTAAACTATACCTCGAAACTTGGGTCAATGTGTATTATTTGTAGTTCGAAGGTTTGTTACACTTTGAAAAGCCCAAATACTAAATTACAGCCAATTCGGTTGCAAAATGTGCGAAACATACAAAAAAACAAATATTGAGGTTGACCCGTCAAAACTTAAAAAACTTCCTCGCATACAATATATAATAGTGGTCCATATATTAATATAGCATCCATATCAAAGTGACTTTCAGATATTTCGAAGGACCTAGTCGCACTTTTCAACAGCAGTGTCTATAGGTAGACGTTTCAAGAAATTTTTCAATGTAGGTCAATGTTTTGAAATAAACTCCGTAATAGGTTCGTTCCAATTCCCTTTTATGGACAATTTTAATGTTCCTTTCAATTTCTGCAAATTTGCCTTCATTGTTTCTCAAAGGATCAAAAATTGTATTGGTATATCCTCCATACAAGGGTCTTCTCCGATTTCGGTGAATTTAAAGCTTTTGCATCATTTACCCACCGAAGTGGCTGTGACGTGATATTCCCGGTTCTAAGAGGACAATATACCCCCTTGCAATTTCAAATATAGGTCTATCGCTTACAGCGATCCCGCGATTCTAATTTGAAAGGCCTTTAATCGAAGTGGTTGTGATTTGACGTTCTAGGCTCTCAAAAGATAACAGACATCATTGCAGGGATTGGACTATGGTTTATATATCGGCCCGACCTATTTAAGATTTTCTGAAGGTCATATGCGAATTTTCTAACCGAAGTGTCTGTAATTCGTTTTTCTGGGGAAATATACCTCCCGTAAAAATTTGTTTGCCACAGTTCCAATATTCGCACAATCCAATTTTATGATACAACCCGTAGAACAGAAAAAATAATTTATTTTTGAGTTTATTCTCTTACCTGGAATGAATCAGCAATAACTACAGCCTTCATACCGCCCTGCGATGAATAGAAAACACACACAACATAGATGAGGACTACGGCGATTTTGGTATCCAAACCGGTGGCCTTTGAGAGGGCAATGGCCGGAGCAAGAACCGCAACTGCTGTATAGAAGCACATCTGGAAAAAAGTGAATATTTTTATAAAAACAATTCTATATCATTTAAGAAATATCCTTTGGGAAAAATTCATGATAAATTCCGGATCACACTAGAGTTATTTCAGGAGCTTTTGGATTCATTTCATCACTATAGAAATTTAATAACATGTCTGAATCTAAAATTCTCAATTTTATTAAATTACTTTAGTGTGGTCCGGAATCGATGTATTCCTTGAAAGCCTAGAGAAATATTTGCGTTTTTCAACCTACCTGCAGCACATACAAAACGGCGCCCAACACACGAATTTCCTTGCCAAAACGTATACCCAAATATTCATAACAACTGGTCAGTTCCATTTTGAAATAAATCGGATAGAAAATTTTAACAGCAACTGGTACCACAAATATCATGGGAATAACTGCAAATAAAACAACAACAACATCATTAAATTTATCAAACAAAAATCATTTTTTTTTTTTTTTGCTTCCCCTTACCAATCAATACAAATTGTGTTCCCTGGAAATACATTTCCGATGGATTACCCAACAATTCAATGGCGGTGATAAAACTTGTTGTCAAACTTAGTGTAACCGGAAATATGGACATTTCCGAACCAAGTAAAAATTCATTTGAGGAGCTACCAGATTTTTGGAAAAATCCATAAAAGATGCCAATACCCAATGAGATGACCAACATTCCTAAGAGTACCGTGTAATCATATGGTGAAAATGTGGCCTTATGTGAAGGATTACTACACTCTTCCATGGTTTCTTCATCATCGGAGGATGGATGAATTGCAACTTCAGCTACATCCTTTAAATTTTTCAATAACACCGATGCGGCCAATTTAAAGTGGGGATTTTCCACTGATGAATCCTCGCCGCGTACAATAACATATTCCGATTTCGTGGTTGGTGGATCGGTTGTTGTTTCAAACGATTCAACTATACCCTTGGCTGGTAAGGCCAAACATCCAGCAGTGTGTGCCAAAGCACACAAAAACAATAATTTTAATATAGCCACCATTGGAGCAGGCATTGTGACGATGTTTTTGCTTGATAGGTATTTTTCTGGGGGGGAAATTTATTTCAAAATTTGTACTGTTTGGGTTTCTCTTTTGAAATTGTTTTCGTTTTGATTTCTTTGGTTGAGTTCCTTTCTTGTGACTTCCTTTGTGTGTGTGCTCTATATTTGCTTGGTTAGTTTGGGTGAATACTGTGTGGGAGGGGCGAGTAATTTACATTTCCTTTAAAGCTTTTAGCTATCGATAAATAGTTCACGGTTCCGTTTTCCAAAAAAGAATATGTTCAGTAAGCTGTAAATGAAAAATAAAAAAAAATATGTATTAAGTAAGTGAATTTTAACAGAATATGAAAATATAAAGAGTAAAGTCAAACGGGACTGAATATATGATACCCTACACCTCTTGGGATATGTATGTAAAAGATAATCTAAGCCATAGATACATACAAATACCTATAAATAACACATACACTTAACATATTTTCCTTCTTAAAATGTTATTTTTATTTATTTTATTTTTTTATATATACATATTATTTCATGTGATAATTTTGTTCATTAATTGATCGCATCATTAATTAATTAAGAAATTCAAAAGCTACACAAAAATTGTCACACATCCTACACACATGTGTATGTATGTTTTTGTGTGTGTGTGTGTGCGTGTATTATTTGCAGCAGACGCCTAAACGTCTTAAATACATTTATTAATTAATAACAATGTATAAAAAATTTCAAGTTCAATATTATTTCCTTACTTATAGAAAGATCAACCACCAACAATAATAATGGATAAGTAAGGCGCTTACTCACACACATGCACACACAAACATGTTTATTATGCTAGTCAATGATCTTCAATTAATTAATTGTCATTGAGTTGTTCTTGTTGTGGGACAAATAGTTATGGGTTCATAAAAATACCAACACCAACAGCAAACAAGAAAATCGTAATACGAAAATTGGTCTGGTTATAGGCGGACAAGCCCAAAATAAACCAATTAATGGCAATCGTATTGCCAATGGGTGGACCTGCACATCGTACAGCGTCAAGTGGATTAAATTAAAAAAACGAGCATTTTATTTCGAAATCAATTATTAAAAAATAATACTTACAAATAATCCATAAAAAATAAATACTTTAAAATTGAATTTTATTAAGTGTGTACTATTGAAAACTATAAGCATTTTAATTAAAATGAAAACAAAAATTAGGAAAAAATGTATAATGTATAAAAAAAGAATATTTTTTAATATGTTATAATAAATAGAATTAAAATATTATAACTAAAAAACATAATTAAAAAATATAAAAACATAATTTGAAAATCCCCACATATTTTTTTTAAACTAAATAATTTTAAAACAACTATACAGACTTTAAAATTGAATTTTATTAAGTAAATTATAAAAATAAATTAAAAAAATCAGTAGTGTTGGCGGTTTATTTGGGATACCATTTGTATTTTGTTTTTGCAAAATAGTCAGGCTGAATCCCAGTTTGTTGTTTTTATAAAAAACAACTATTTATTAGTGGGGAATGTATGGCATTGTTTGCCGAGGGGTAAGGCAGGGAAGACTATAGTTTCGGATCAACATATAGTTTTTGGAACAACAAAATAAATGAAATACTTGCTCATTTTCTTAAGGGGACCCCCCCTCCATTCTCGGGGTCAAAATTTTTGTTGATATAATTCGAATCTACACTGATTAAAGAATGTCTCTACAAAATTTCAAGTGAAAATCTCAAGAACTCTTGAAGATATATCCGATTTATTGTGTCCGCATCAAGTGACGGCTGAAGGGATTCTCAAACTTTCAACGCGTTTTTCTCTAAACATTTTTTTGCGAATGGCGGGCAAGATAACTCAAAAACTAATAATCCAATCGGTTCCAAATTTTGCAACGTTTCTCTGGGAATGTATAGCTCTCGTATGAACTAGTATAAAGCCAATCGGTGAAGATCTTCCTTATTTTTTAGTTTGGTTTTTGGTAAAAAATCGGCGATTTTCCAACAATATTTTTTCAAAGGTCCACCATTTTGTTAATATTAGAGCGAAGTCAATAATCCTAGTTCATACGAGAGCCAGACATGTACTCTTTCTAACACCGTTGTAATTTTTGGATTCCGGTGATCCAGTGAGGAGTTATCATGCCCGCCATCAAAAATAAGGACTTTTCTTTAATTACAAAAAACAACAATAACAAAAATTTTTTGTAAATTATTTTTCTTCTCTTTTAAATATTCAAATATATATGTGCAAAGTTAGAAACCTTAACAAGCATTGGTATGAATTTACCAGCCCATTGAAAATCTTGAAAAATTAAAATCGAGAATGGGTGGGGTTCCCTTAAATGAAATGTGAGAATGTTCTATTGGAAAAACTTAATTTTTTTTATAGTAATAACATATATAATGTTTATGAAACCACATTTTGAAAAAATTGCTTTTTTTTGGAAAGATTAAAAAATACGCATTTTTTCTTTACACTAAATAATTAAAAAAAAACCAGTAAGGAAAGTTGTAAAGTCGGACGGGGCCGACTATATGATACCCTTCACCACTTTAGGTATATTCAACAGATGAATCCTAACAGACGTCGCATTTTTAAAGAACCAGTAAAATGAAATTGGATCCATAAACATGTCATTCTGCAAACGATACTAAATTTTTCATTTGGTCAGATATAGAAGCTATATCTAAAACTGAACCGATTTTTACGAAACTAAACACACATCATTCTAGACCTAATTCATTACGCTGTGCTAAATTTCGTGCAAACCGAAAGATATTAAGGGACTTTGGTACACTATTTACATTAAATCGGACGAAAATATATATGGGAACTATATCTAAATCTGAACCGATTTTCACAAAACTTAACACACATCATTCTAGACCTTATTCATTACGCCGTGCTAAATTTCATGCAAATCGAAAGATATATAGGGATTTTGGTGCACCATTTACATTAAATAGGACAAAAATATATATGGGATCTATATCTAACTCTGGACCGATTTTCATTCTAGACCTAATTCAGTACGCTGTACCAAATTTCGTGCAAATCGAAATATATATAGAGACTTGGGTACATCATTTACATTAAATCGGACGTATATATATATATATATATATACATATATATATGTATATATATATATGTATATATATAAATATATATATATGGGATCTATGTCTAAATCTGGACCGATTTTCAGGAAACTTAACACACATCATTCTAGACCTACTTTAGTACACTGTGCCAAATTTCGTGCAAATCGAAAGATATATAGGGACTTTGGTACACAATTTACCTTAAATCGGACGAAGATATATATGGGAGCTATATCTAAATCTGAACCGATTTTCCCGAAACTTAGCACACATCATTCTAGAGTTAATGGAATACGATACGCTAAATTTCGTGCAAATAGAAAAATATATAGGGACTTTGGTGGACCATTTACATTGAATCGGGCGAACCTATATATGGGAGCTATATCTAAATCTGAACCGATTTTCATGAAACTCAGCACACATCATTCTGGGCCTAATTCATTACGATTTGCCAAATTTCGGAAGATTCGGAAGATATATAGGGACTTTTTACATTAAATCGGACGAATATATATATGGGAGCTATATCTAAATCTGAACCGATTTTTCCCAATTTCAATAGGGTTCGTCCTTGGGACAAATAAGTGACATATGCCAAATTTCATTCAAATCGGATTATAAATGCGACCTGTACTTTGTTCACAAAAATACATGGACGGACGGACAGACGGACATGCGTAAATCGACTCAGAAAGTGATTCTATGCATATTCTCAAAAGGAACCTTGTGTCAATCTCGTTTCCTTTTGCCTGTTACAAACATATGCACAAAGACATAATACCCTGTACCACAGTGTGGTGAAGGGTATAATAAAAACTCCATATTAAAATATCCATAACTAGCATATGCCCGCAACTTCCTTAGCGAATGTAGGAAATACTTAAACATGTATTAACATATTATTTTAATATCGACCATATATTAAATTTGAGTACCATTTAGTACCAAATTTCATAATTCGAGCTCTAAAGGTTCATCCAAATCCAAATTTGACCAAATTTAGTTCCATTTAGCACACATTATTTCCACAAGTACCCTCCTCAACCATCCAATAAAACTTCCTGCATACCCAGATCGTATACCCACACAATGATTCCAAATTCAAATTTCAGGATTCCAACTCTATTGGTTCACCAACAATTTAAATTGAACCAAATTTAGTACACAGTAGTACATATTTCCAAAACGTTTAACTTACCCCAATCCTACACCCCCACAGTGATTGGTTCACCGACAATTTAAATTGTACCTACCCCAAACCTACACTCCCACAGTGATCCTAAATCCAGGTTTCAGGATTCAAACTTTATCGGTCGACCCACAATTCAAATTGTACTAAATTTAGTACATAGTTGTACCAATTTCCAAATCTTCCTACATACCCCAACCCTACACCCCACAGTGATCCTAAATCAAAATTTGAGGATTCTAACTCTTTCGGTTCACCCAAAAATCAAATCGTACTAAATTTAGTACATAGTAGTACCGATTTCCAAACCCTCCTACATACCCCAATCCTACACCTCCACAGTGATCCTAAATCAAAATTTCAGGATTTCACCCACAATTCAAATTGTACCAAAATTTAGTACACAGTTGTACGAATTTTCAAAACTTCCTACTTTACTCAAACCAACACCTGCACAGTGATCCTAAATCCAAGTTTCAGGATTACAACTCCATCGGTTCACCCACAATTTAAATTGTAACAAATTTAGTACACATTTCTAAAACTTCCTACATATTTCAATCTTAAACCTCCACAGTGATCCTGACTCCAAATTTCATGATTTTAGCTCTATTGGTTTACCTAAAATTCAAATTGTACCCAATTTAGTACCCATAAGTATTAATTTGTTAAACTGAATCCTGACCCTAATCTTACATCCCTACAATGATCCTAA